TCCAGATTCTGAAGAAGAAGAAGAAATCCACTGAAGAATTAAGTAATGTGATAAAAACATCGTACCTGCTCATCAAGAGGACATTAACTCATTTCCGTTATAAGGTTTTTATGTTTTTTAAGTACTTTCTTCGCGCCATGCGAAGCCAAATATACTTCAGAAAAATGTTATAATAGCCTTTTCAACAGTGGGCGCACTGAAACAATTACTATGATTCCTTGAACCTTGGAACCATTAGAGAACTGTTCCTAAAAAACCAACGTAACCTAGAAGTCCAACACTTGCGATATAACAAAATATAGCAATTCTATCACAAGATAATGCCTCACCGCACACAGCAATCAGTAATGCAGTCCGAAGATTTGAAAATTTTCACAAACCACCATACTCAATGGACAACTCGTTAACCGATTTTCACTTCACCTAGCAAATCGATGACTAGTTCAGCAAAGAAATTAACCTCCAATCCCATGGTAAAAGCGCTTTTCTTCCGAGGATGGATGTAGAGGAAGAACAGCGCCACTCAGCTGTAATTTTGGAAAAATTATGATCTCGTTTGTCCTGCACTTTATTCCCAACAAAGTAAGCATAGATATAAAACGTTGCATAAAAAGACCTGTTTACAGAGATCGGTAGCAGTGATCGAAATACCAACGTACACTCTCGGACGCCAGCTAGTTCGTAACAGCATGTATAACCGTCTATGCACAACGCAAAACTGCATAAACTGCTCTAACGGCAGGGGCATTGATTGCATGTGTTTAGGCAAGGTTTACCTGACCTCTTGCAAATCGTGCAGGGGCGAATAGATGGGCGAAACAGTAGACCACTCTGCGGTCGTATAAAAAACCCCTAGTCGGTAAACTTAAGTTTCATCAAATACTAGACGCATAGGACATTCGCACACAACGGAGAAGATTTAAGCAGTAATCATACTCGCATAGGAATAGAAAATGTCAGCGTATAAATCTCTGGCTTGAATAAACCCTGGAAACCCAAAAATGAACAGGAGGGAAGGACGCTTCATGACCACACGTGATATCACGCAACATTTAGAACTAATATTTTATTAGATGGGGCAGGCATAGACCACTGGTTAGAGGCGTCCTGCAATACACATGGGAACGATCCCAGACCCCAGGCTAACCAAGCTTTCCATCCCACCGGGTCGGCAAGTTGGCACCAGAACTATCTGGGAGGATAGTAGCATTGGGTCGATACATCGGTAGGTCACCACGAGTGATTGTATAGGCCAGATATGCATTCAATCACATCGATACTTAATGAAAGCGAATGCATGGAGCATCCTTCAGGGATTGATCAACGCCAAGAGTTTTATCTTATTTAATGCGAGAGAGGCACATTACCCATCCATGGGAACTCTATGCTGTTCGTCCATGTGAAATACTCACTTGAAGACTCAGTGAAAATGGTGAGTATGCGAAAAAGGTATTTCGTTTCAGTGCGATTGAAATGTAGGTTTCGTGATTTTCCCGTTGGGATTATGGAAGTGTTCGGCTGACTAGATTGCAGTCCTGACCATACCAGGCCAAGAAGAAGGCAAAATCCGCAGAAACGTCTTTTTGGTGAGTAAAGAATTAAGTAACAACCTCACGCTTGCTTCTATAAAACAGCGAATTATTGATCAATCGCGAGACCAATAGAAAATCGGTCTTAGGAACAAAGTGTAGATCTCGAAAGGATTCATTTCGATCAATACAGTACAACTCGAGCCAATATACGAGCATTTAAAGTTAAAAGACTGTAATCATTGTTTTGAACAATGTAACAATAACTGGGATTTTTGAAACAACAAAACCGAACAACAATAACAAAAGATGAGTGGACGTCTACTCGAGACGCTTCGCTTCCCTAAAAATGAAAAGTACCAAGATAGAAAAGAGCAAATAATGCTACATTTGTAATCATTCCATTAAAAGGAAATCAGAATTTAGTTTGCTCGGAAATTTTTATTGGATTCCTTCTATTCTTCTAACATCAAAGAGTATAGACTTTTTAGTAGCGAAAATTGTGACATAATATTTAGCAATATTAACATCACTAACATTAACATTAACAACATAACGTTAATATCCAGTTTTAGCGAATGGCAAGAACCACCCAACGCTTTACCACCTCATCGTGGTCACGAGGTATTCTTGGCTGCCGGGCTGCGATTACAGCAGAAAGATTCATATTCCAGCACGGTCTCCCAAGCTGAGAAGAAGTCCAATGTTTCCATCAGGAACGGCAGGTAAGAGTAAACCAATACCAGAATCCACCACCGTCCTGGTATCAAACTAGTCGCACAGTGGCAAATGCTCTCTGGTACACAAAGGCGACGACTGTCTGTGATAGTGACCATCTGGGCAAACTGGCTAGGCTGAAGTTGGCACTCCAGGAAGCCACAATGGCTAGACTAGCAAAACTCCGAAAAAATAGAGATTCTGCTAGGCCCGCACAACCATTGAAGACGGGCCATCCAAGTATCCAAATAAGATACGCAGTAATATACCAAACGAATAGCATTGAAAATTTAATAAATGAAAACACAGAAGAAAATGGATCTTTCGAAGGCTTCTGGATAGTGTACCTCACTTGGCATCAATTTTAATAGAATGTTGCGTTCTAGTTTGTTGTTAGTCAAAAACGTTTCTAATGCTTTTCCACAACCTACACGTCTTCCAAAAATCGAGAAAGGTAAAATGAGGAAACTTCTTGTAACTGATTCCAGTAGACGTCCACTACCGCTTTTTTGCCTCAATTAAGAATCTTCGAAGTTATTATTTAACAACTTATGCATTACTAAAGAATTTACAAAAAAACCTAGTGATTCTTCAGTAAGACAAGCACAATTGATAACCATCCTATCAGAGGCAGATTTCCTTTTCCGAGGTACTTCTAACACCTGTGCGATGACGTGATCTCTGTAGTTTCTTTAGTAGGAACACAGTGGCAAGTGTGACCTCTATACAGGTCATTTTGCTTTCTGCGGTTATACTTTGGCGCTACAAAACTATTTTCCACATTTGTAATCAATCGATGGTTTGCTTATTCAACATAGGTTTAGTAAGTGGCGTCGGCCAGAGCAAGCCCTTGAAAATACACAAAGGCCTTTTTTGGATAAGTTCATTGATCGATACTTTGGAAATTGGCTGTTACTCCCTTTCTAATTGCTATAGTGAATCAAGATGGAATGAGAGTGTAGAAAGAATACAAAAATAAACTTAGTTTAAGCTGCAAAACGCTTCCAAATGCCATCATCAGTGTGGTTGAATAGTGGAGCATACTAATACATAGAAAACACTGTCAAATATAGTACTTATACCCTTAGAGCTAAACAACAAGGTCTCCTCTGTAATTCTTTAGTGTTTCCAACCCGTCAAATCTTCTGGTTATTGGAACATAATTATCTACTATCGATGAACCAACAGTTCCGTAAAGACATGAACTCAGGCATCGTCCATAGCTTCAGTTAAGGAAAAGTGGCTGTCGTCGTAGAACGTTAGTCGAAAAAAATGTGGACTACAACAACTACAACTAATCTACTCAACAGAATTGATGAAGGCATACATCTCATGCTTTAATTTTACAAAGTATACCGCACATTTTTTAAATCAATAACTGAAAACAAAAGAGATTATTTCCTATTCTCGTTAGCTCACTAATTCAAGAAAATAAGATTAATTTGGCGCGTAACAAGAATTTTTTCAGAAGACACACCAAAGGTTTCTCACAACAGCCGCCTTTTGGCGCACGACCCGTTTCCTATGACCAAGCGCATTTACGGTAGCTGACATAACCATTGTAATGATGGCGCTCGAGAAACAATGGCCCATCTTGCGGTATCCCAATTCCAGAGATTCAAGACAAGACAGCATTATAGACTGAAAGAGAAGAGGATATAACGTAGATCAGAAAACTAAACGGCATATGTCTTACTTTTAATTTTCTGCCTTCTATAATTTTTATGGTAGGGTATTAAGCGAAATACAACCAAAAGATTGCTGAGATATTTGCAAAACTCCGGACCGTAAGTGCCTGCGGTGAGGAACGAACGCGCTATTATCCTTTACGGGGATTAACGCGTTCACCACCACACCATACCGGTCCTTCGTTACGTCTGTCTCTCAGCTAGTTCTATCGATCAGTGCCGTAAGCAACAGCGCGTTCGTTCCCCACCGCAAGCAACTGCGGTTCGAAGTTTTGCCAACATCTTAGCAATCTTGTGGTTTTATTTCGGTTAACACCCTGCCATAAAAATTACAGAAGGCAGAAAATAAAAAGTAAAACATTGTGAATTCAACTATAGCCTCAGGTTAACTGGGTTCAATACCGATGTGGGCTCCCCAGATCAATGCCGTTGACGGGTGATTGCTCACGGCACTTATCAATAGAACTAGCTGAGAGACAGACGAAACGAAGGACCTGCATGGTGTGGTGGTGAACGCGTTACTCCACAGAAAGGAAAATAGCGCGTTTGTTCCCCACCTGCAGTCCAGGGTTTTGCAAATATCTCAACAATCTTGTGGTTGTATTTCGCTTAAACGGCCTATATTTACACGAATACGCTAGAAAGCTTCGTAACAAATAGACTTGGAAACCTCTCTCTTTCGAATATGTCTGCTTAGTTTTTATTCAACCAATTACTCGATCCCTATTCATACATGACTTCACACAGCCACTGTTATGTTCGTAAAGAACTACTAGGCAAAAATCACCTTGAAGCAATCAACCAAGTGAGCACAATTGCTCACCCAACAAAAACTCAACACTTATCTAGGGCTCAGAAAAAACCAGCAATACACGAATGACTCAAATTACTGTGGCTCTGGAGAAGGTGAAGACGTGGAAACGTTAGCCGAATAAAAATTTTATAAAAATTTCGGTTTAGCTTAATTGTAAGGAAACTTAGGTTCATAACTCAAAAAATGGACACAGTTTTTGCGAGGAGAAACCAGTGAAAATGAAATATCAAGCTCGATCTAGCGGAGCTTTCTTCACTTCTTTCTCGCCCATACCGTATCTATACCTAGTCGTGGCAAAGAAAAGAAACAAACCATCGGTATATCCGGTGCTAGTAAGGCTCTGGTGAGAGCTTTTATCATGAGGTAGCTATCTTCTGAAGAAAATCTGTCAGCTGGTGAACCGGCAATAAAACGAGACAACGCAAAGAGTACTACTGGATCCCCTTCCTTGTCGCCGGCAAGAGCAGTTCGAAATACGGGAAGAAACTAAAAATATGCCTGTTATCCAGCAACTATTTAACTGAACATTACCTATGCCGGTTTAGAAACAATGAACTGGAAAATAGTCGGTTAAAAATAGGTTGTATTATCCGACTTTTTAAAGCTCTAAATCCGCTAGTTAATTTTAATAGTGATGATCTGAGTGGGTGAAAATACAAAACGTTAAAAATTTGATGAACGAAGGCAAATAATTCTTCCCTGCAGTCCCTATGCTTTATAATTTTCTCATTTAATTACAATTTGTGATTGCTACTTTTCCTACGAAAAAAAAACGATAGGCACTGCCAGAAAACCCTGCACTGTTCCAAGGTCAAAAATACTGGAAAACGCTTGCTCCAAACGATGAGGAAAGTCCAACTATGTACGATGTTTTACATGGTGAGGATGAAGCACCGGACTTATGACAAAAACACAGTCGTAAGCTGACACTTCAACAACCTCAAGAACTCTGAGCACCACCCACAGACCACTCCATCGACACCTTCTGAAACGTAAGCTCCCTCACAAAATCTATCCCGACATCCGCAATTCAGATCTTCGAAACTTATCTCATTTTCGAGACAGAGGAGAATACAGATCAACACCGAAGTACAGATGGGTCGGTAACACAATGATAAGAACAATGAACGGTCGATGGACAGAACAATGTGCGGACGTCTTCATGATCGAACCAGCCTATCACCATGGACAAAGATTGCCAAGAAAGTACTGGATGGAAAATGTCCTAGTAGCCGCTTACCTCGTGAAGACAGGTCATCCGAGTATTAAAAGATAAAATATAAAGGTCTAGCCGTTAATCACTGAAAGATGTGTCATGCATTCGACTTCAATAAGCATCGTCAAAGTTGAGTAAGTGCAAATCTGGGCTATAAAATGACTTGCGATAGAATACCGACGAATCAAGTTAGCTGGTACCCTCTCGTACAAGGGTGCTACTAATTAAGCGATCCCCGGAAGAATAGAAAACTTGGTGAGTAGGAACGCAGGGTAGAACGAAAAACCACCTGCGCATTGTAGGGCACTTTCAACCACTGCGCTACACACGTCCACAAGTAAGTAGATAAGTGCATTACACAAATTGTGAAAAATTGGCTTTACACGTGTCGCGGCTTTTCATTAGGTGATATTAAATTAAAAAATGTACTGACAAGAAATGCTTGAAAGCACTTATTTGAAAGTAAGCACCGCGACGAGAACTGAAGAATCATACCTCATCGAAAAGTTGCTGCATGGCGGAACTGTTTTCAAAACACTTCAGTAAGAAGGGTAATAACTGCATTAGAATAGTCTTACCAGCTGAAATTACGAAAAAATATAGTGAATGGCTCAATAAAGTTAAAAAATCTACGTCAAAACTTGACGGTTAGTTGTTGGCAAGCAAACTGCGCTGTAGAACAGGAGATTCTTTCCGTGATATGGTCACCCAAGTAAGGGAGTTTGACATTTCCGTCTAGATAGCTAGCTTATTAGCGAAGGAATATCATGAATCGCTACTGGCCCTGCAGAAGCTTGCTGGTATGATGGGAAAATTTTCTCGAACCCATAAGGATTGTGAGCGGATGTAATGATGACCTGCGATAAACCCACGACTACTATCTCTAGATTCCAGGAAAAAAAGACTTCCCCAAACAGAAAAACAGTTAAGTGGAATTTTTGCTGTGAACTGCACAAAGAGAAGCCGTTTGATTAACAACTGTACTTTTAAAGTAGGCTTTTTTCAGGTAGGTTTCGCTTTAAAGAGAACCGGCTGGATACATTAAAAAAAAAACAAAACTTACATTCGTCTGCACGGTTCACAGCTGCTACGAAGCTCTTGCCAAGCTGATTGAATACTCTGAAAATCCAATTGACGTCAACTGTTTTTAGGCACGCCCAATTTTTGCAATGAGAACCCATTACATTATTCTTTTTTTGGACATTCTCTTCAATAAAAAGTGCTTCAAAGATGGATAGTCATTTCGGAATTTCCGCAACCATGTTCGTACTGTCGATTCACCAACACTACCATCGCCCCAAACTTCCTTAATGTTCCTAACCGTCTCTGCTTCACTATAACCGAGTTTGAACTCATAAAAGATAATTTGAGGAAAAATCGTTTTGGACGGCTAAAATTGTAAAGCTCAAAATTGATGAAAAATTGACTCTTTACATTCTTTAATTTTTGAATTTTTTTTGCAAAACATAAAGATATGCATAAAAAGAGCATTAAATCAGCTTTCTAAAGATATATAATACTGCAAAGTACAAAGAACATTTCATTGGCAGAACATATATTAAAACAGTAAATATTTCAAAAAGCTCATTTATTTCCGAATATCCTAATAGCTTAACAATCCAAGAAGACACTGATTGCTACTACCGAGGGACGATCGGTTTGAAAAGTAAGTAAAACGCTTTGAAAAGTACTAAACCAACAATTTCACGGACTTCTTAATTGTAAAAAAATACTACACTTCACCTCTGTTTCCATAAAAACGTGACCTTAAACAAACATCGTTGAGGGTTATTCGCAGCAGTATCAAAGTCAAAAATATTACAAAGATGTTTCAAGAGAATCTCATGATCAGCCGAATCCCTTCGCCAAAGACGATCGAGTTGCTAAAACAATTGCTAAACAGAAGTCTATTAACTAAACGACCATTAATTGGTTTGTGCCGTGATCATATCTCACTTCTTTGTAGATTTTAACGCCCTCTTCCTTCCCAGACAGAAGAAGGCCTTTCGAAATCGCACAACTTATTCTGGAAATAAAACTGCGTACAAATGAAGAAATCAATCATCAATCAAAACCCGATGAAAACTTCAACAACCCACTCATAAGGTAGTTCACTTCTCAACAACAACACTTTTCCTATGTCCGGCTCGTGATTAGCGATACCTACACAGAATCTGTATGCACTTTGTTCTCCACATACTGGTAGCATAGCGCAGCGCTTCATAAGCATCGGATCCTCAAATGTTGTGAACCATAAAAAACACTGTTGGAATTTGAAAAAAAAATGATAGAAAAGCAAATGTTTCTATCTCCAAACTTGACTAACACTACGTACTTAAACTATATCAGAAAAACAACCACAATGGTTTTGAAATATGAGCAAAACCCTAAATCTCACAGGTAAGCTCTAAGCCCGCGATCTTCCTTCCCGAGGGTTCATGTGTTATGCACCACCGAGGCAGTTGATTTGCCTCTCTCTTAACCTGTTCTTCGCATTAACGGTGTTATTAGCAATGATCCGTAAATGGCAGTGATCTGAACGGCAACGAATTTTGCTCATATCTCAGCATCACTGTGGTTGTATTCCACATAATACGCTGCCATGAAAAAAAAAAGAAAAAGAATTAATAGGCAGTAAATAAAAGTTAGGCATTATATTTTAAAAAAAGCTGGAACCTCAAGGTACGAAAACAATGTGCCAAGAGAATTTAAAAAGAACACAAAGCATTTCATAAATCACTGTATCTAAAATATACAGTTAACTAGCTTCTCCGGCACTCTGACAGATGCTCATCAAAATCCAACGCTCTCATTTTCTAAACAATAACTGGTGGGACAAAATCTGACGGCTAATTGGTATCTCATTATATCGATAGTACGTAGGAGCATATTAGGAAAGCCCCTTTACTAAGAAGGCACAGTAGATCAATAGGCGTAGATCCATACCTGGGATTGGACCAAGAACAGAGTGAACATATCCACAATTTGATGAGATATTAATGTGTCGACAATCTTCTCCAACAACAAAAGACGATTTTCCTTATCTAACAACAGACCGAATGACTGCATCGTCTCCGCGAATGCTGCGATCGTCTCACCAGTTGGAGAGGATAGCTATAAGAGCTTAGAATTCTCCTCCATCATTGAAATATGGTTCTAGTGGGAAACGCACTTTAAAGGCTATCAGGTAAAATTGCTCCGCAGTTGAAATAAGTGGAATGACGGATGTAGATGCAAGTCTAGTGGCCATGCATAGGAAAACATCAAAAAATTCGCGACATGGACCTAAATATTTGTAAGATATAAAATCAATCTATGAAGAAGTAACGTTGAACATTCACTTCCAACTAAGATAGAAAATATTCTCGGCGATAGATCGGTGTATGTAGATTCATCGTGAACCGCGGCACATATCATTGGAAAGTCCTGCGATTTCGCTGAAAATAAGCAGATAGCACCAGCAGACAAATAGCACATATCAAAAATCAGATACCCAGGAGACCAGGTAAACGATGGAAGAAGAATTAGGACGGAAGGATGATCACATAAGACATCAAAAAGTCCGTAAGTAGACAAATGTTCATTACAAAGAAAGCAAATTCCTAACAACGACGCTACATAGGAACAATCAAACTGGACCAACAGTTCTCGACTTTTTGAAGGACCACATTTCGTACATGTATCCAATTAGTTTTGGTAACCATTCCTAGCAATCGTTGAAAGCTCGCTCTACAAATCAACATTGTAAAAAAGTTTCTCGAAAGACTGCGTCATAGCCACACTTACTGTACTGCTTCTGTTTTAATGGCATTCCATGAAGTCCGAATAATCTCAGTGCTACGCAAGAGTACCTCGTCGGATAATGATGTAATATTTAGATAAATCTAAAACCAGTAGAAATTTAACTACACTGACGATGTAAGTCATATATGGCGTACATCTCATGAACTAATTTTGTCTTCCAACAGCACAACATTGAACGAACATATCTATCTAAGCTCAAAGTGAACATTACTAATTGAAATGAAAATCAGTGCAGTCTTCATAAAAAAGCTAACTTGTACATCTTGTCCCACTCTACTAAGATGGAACTCTGGTATTCTGAAGTGCACAAATCATTCTTTGCCTGTATTTCGAACCCGAAAGCGAGTGAACAATTTGGATTTGTATGAACGTCGGTATTAATAGTTAATATATGTAATTTTAACTCATGTAGAGCAGTGGTCGAAGACGTCCTGCACTAGGCATGGGCTCGATACCCTCGCTCCAGGCTCACCAAGCCTCCCATCCCTCCGGGGTTGGCAAATTGGTACCAGACTTATCTGGAAGGATGCAACACTGGCTCAATAGATCGGTAGGCCACCGCGACTCATTGTAAATGCAAGATGTGAATTCAATCACCTCCAACAATGCTTAATGAAGTCAAATGCATAGCGCTTCCTCCTGGGAATGATTGATCGAGGTCGAGAGCTTTACCCTTTCAACCCTTATAATTCTTATTGGCTGCCCTTATTGAGCAAATGCGAGGTTGATATCAGTTGTAGTTGTTGTTGTAACTCGATGTTAACGTTTATTTTATGTAATGTTATCCACATATCTTTTCATTGATAGGCTAACGCCACGTCTATAAAGTCGCCGAAATGAGCTAACGAGGTTAAAAGAAAGCCGGTTTTTGAAATATTGTTACATTTTATACTAGCTATCCCCATAATTCGGTGAACCATCTATAGCACTAATGAAGACCTATTGCACAAATAAACGCCAGCTTGTTTGAAAACTCCTCACCGTTTTCTTAGCTGTGCGACCACCAGCGTGTTGTTCACGTGGGATCACGAGAGAGGCCCACCCAGGTCAAAAAATCAATTTAAAATGAGGCGCCAGATCTCGTGTGGTAGTGAGCCATTCGTCTTTCTGCCTCATCTTTGGACTCTTAAAATTTATCCAGAACGCACCAAAAGTCTTGCGCGTTGCTGTTTTTGACATCTGCGCTAGGACACGGACAATCACTTCAAAATTATCACCACTGTGCTTTTGTGCCCTGTGCCCACGTCCCACTCGGAACAGCACTGTGAGTAGCTTTTGAACAAATTGGCGCGTATTTATACGTTAGAGCTTCAATAATACTATAAAATTGTCACCAAATTATAAAGGATATTGTTATATAACATACGTCCAGGCTCTGAGGATCGCCGAAAGGTGAGCAATCGAACAACAACAAAAATAACTTATACCAGCCTCGTATCATCTCAACAGGACCAGCTCGTAGAAATATATATACCTCTTCCGTCGGTCTGTCAATTCTTCAAATTTTATGGTTCTGTTATCCTGGGGAACGTGTAGCGCAGTGGTCGATGCGCCCTGAAATACACATGGGATTGATCCCGGCGCTCCTAGCCCACCAAGCTTTCCATCCCTCTGGGGTCAGCAAGGTACCATACTTGTCTGGGAGGATAGCAGCAGCAGCTCGATACATCGATAGGCCACCTCCAGTTATTGTAAAGGCCATATATGCATTCATTCACCTCCAACGACGCTTAAATGAAGCCTAGTGCATTGCGTATTCCTCAGGGATTGATCAACGCCGAGAGTTTTATCTTTTTTAATATCTATTAACCTAGGAACAGCAACACTTCGCTGGCGATCGAGCTCATCACGAACAAGTGATGGTTCGACTCCGCTCCGGTCTCATCAAGCCTGCAATCCCTTTGGTTTGGGGAAGCTGGTAGCGGACTTGTCTAGGAAATGTCCACTCCATGCAATCCAAGTAAGAACGCTCTAGCCTGGCTAACACAGGTCTTCAAGGAGAATCGACTCAACCAGCATCTAACGACATTCATGACGAAAGGAAAACCCTCAAGTAGTAACCGAAGTCACACATTAAAAACTGGAAGACCTTCGTGTATAATGGATGCGAGGAAACAAATCGAATACGAGAAGTGCTGGGACTCGTAAAGTAGATGTAAAAGACGGGTCGTGTAAACAAAAATATCTGTTATCCTAACTTTAGTTATCGAAAAACCAGCGTTTCCGAGGCCTATTAGGTGACTCCGATTTCTTGATGAAAACATATGGGAGAGACTCTAGTGGCCTTTAAACAACTACCGGTACGATAGTTTTCCCAAAGGTATAAAGAACAAGAACTTGACAGAACTCTAGAAGAGAGCTTGCTCTGTCGATCTAAGAGTAACAGGAGTTCGCGTGAGGTGTTATTTTACAAAGTCTAAAGTCGTGTCAAATTTTCAAATGGTTTAAAATTCAAAACATTAAAAAACTGAGAACGAGACTCAAATTTTCTAAAGATACTGTCGTAAGCCTAACAGCAATACACATGTGAGATGCTTTCAGGAACACCAGTGCACCATGCCGGATAAAACAGCCCTTATTTCATTTTGCTGAAGATGAGTCTCGACAAAGAAAACGCGAAAACGTTTTGTGGGCTCAAGAGAGTCAAAATTACACCTCGGTAAAGCAAGATTTATGTTATATTGAAAAGTATTTGAAGATTCTAAAATTTCCTACTTCGACCAATGCGGCACAGCAAAAGCTGAGATAAGTTTGTTCAAAAGTGAAGAGTAAGTCCTTTAAGGTATGTACGCATTGGGGTCAATGCATAATGGTGCAGATATATTAATGACTATATAAGTATACAACAAAAAAACTACCGAAAGGCAATTGTGCAATGCTACTAGCGCCTCATTCGGAGCAGTTTCCCTTGCAACATCAACGGAAGCGAATACGGAAGAGTAGAAGCGTACCAGCACATCATCTACAGTGTGTTTCATTGCAAAAGTACCACCATACATAACTAGCAAACAATGGCTTACCAAACTCCGAAAAAAGAAAATCTTGCCTATTTAGCAAGTTACCAGGCAAATGTAAATCGTGCCGATGTTCGCACGAATTCTTGCGATTCGTGGAGATAGGTTATTCACTTATTTTCAAACATTCAAGTATAATAAACTTTACGCTGCCAGTAGCAGTTCTCACTTACCAAATCCGTGGTCATGAATGATCTCAACCCAAGTACTTATATATTGAAGGCCTTGCTGGATAATTTCAGGTCGATTTGATCTGACGTTCACTACGTCACCTTCATTGAAATACGTTTAAAGTAATAATCTCTAGGATAAATGGAATGGTTAAATCAACATACCTTGAACAAGCATGACAAGCCATGGAATGACTCGGTCGTATACCATGCCTCGAATAGCTGGGCCAGCATTTGAAGCACAGTGTAGCAGAGTAAGTGACCGTTCAGTAAGGCCCATGTCAACTTGTAGTACAAAAGGTTCGAGATCTGAAAAACTCTGCGGTTGCAAAATATACATAGATTATGCTAATGAAGGAATTGTAATAAACTTTCGACAAGTTGTGAGCCTAGCTTTATCACGGATTCGTTATCACATTTACTCAGCGCTTCCGTTATAGCGATCAGAGCCCTTGGAACACATTCTGCCATTTCACCTGCAAAATTTCCAATAATAATTATTTTAGCAATTCTGAATGAAAAAAATAGTTGTAACCAACACTTAGGATTTAGACCTACAGCACGAAGAGCACCTAACATAGACTCAAGGTGACTCAAAATGCTCTCCGGACGGAACACTGAGGCTGCTTCCGCCTAAAATTGGAAAACCGTTTTATGGAAATTTTACGATATTCGTAATCTGTAATGGTAGGAAGAAACCTACAAGAAGTTCGCAAGCTTCTATCTTTTGCTGAAGAGAACATTCCTCATCGTTTAGTTTTTCCTCGATCAACAAATAACAAAATGGAGCGAACTCTGGGTGCGCTGTTAAGCATGTAACGCAACCATGCGTTAACAAATCTTTCGTAATCGAAGCGTTGCTGGACGTCTAGAATCTCTTATTTTCTCACATTCAAGGGATTTCTAGATTTAGTTTTAGCACTATAAGATACTAACCTGCTTCAATTCGATAGGGAAATACCACGAGACAATCTCGAACAAGTCCTCCACAAGCGCTCCTAGAATACCGTACTACATCTCGTGTGGTTAAGTGGACGGCACACCACATCAGAAATTGTTTCTGGATATATTCCCATACACCTAAGAAAACATCATTGCTAGTATTCCGCTTTCTAAAAGCGAGCAACCGGAGAAGCCAATGTCGCACCCCCCATCCGCCCGTGCGACAAGCACTGCGTTTAGTCACATATTCGCTCGTCAGTTTCCTCCCGAACTACGACAAATAACCTCCTCCCACTCCTCATCATTGGCGGATAAGACCGGTTAAAATAGGAAACAACATGAGTGAGAAAAACACCGGAAATTTGTTAGCAATACCTCAAAACGAATGTCCAAAAGACTTTGGCAAACGAACTCGCGATCGTAGTGGGTTTTTTGACCATTGATGATGCTTTTCTCATAACTAGGTAGTTGATTACCTGAGAACTTTGCAGGACAGATTTGCCTATTGCTAGGATGAAAACTGTTATTACAAAACCCTTAATTGCAAATTTGTTAAGAATTAAAGTCTTCGCATCATTCAAATGAAATCTAAATTTTTTAAAAATCCTGACGAAAGTGTGGCAGAAGCAATCACTGACATTACACTGGAAAACACAACCGTATCCTGCTGGACAGAATTCCGCTTCGTTAACTGCCATCCGCTGCGTATAATGCATTGGATGCAAAAACAATGGCGGCCTTCGACTTTCACCATGAAAATCTCATGTCATATTGAACTTTACCAACCAAAAAACACTGGAGCTTATATAAACTTGCCTAAAAATACGAATCCTTCTGATAGAAAATCCTACGACCGACTTTGTTTTAACCTCGGCACTGATCGCCGTTTATGCGCCAAACTTCCAGGCTCAATAATATTTTTCTAGATGGTTAAGCTAACATGATATTGATAAAAACCCCTTCGACTTCCTCTGAGCTAAACTGTTCCAAGTAGTAACTCCCAAGTCCGACTTTCTATTAACCTCGGCATTGATTGAATATATCTTTCTACTTCTGTTCAGCAAGCACGAGGTGCTATTTTATTTCTTTATTTACGCACAAGCTGACGTTTCGGCGGATTTCGCCTTCCTCAGAGCCGCTTTCTATGAGTCTTCCACTGAGTATGTCGCGTGAAGACCGACCGCACAGAATTCACATGGAAGCGTAATGACATTACGACAGCGACAGCGACATTGCCAAGTCGTGCGATTCTTCCTTTAGCTCCCTGGTAGTCCACACAGAGGTGGCTGTTCGAAACATGTTTCTCACAATCACCCTCTTTGTGTGTGAAGGGTGGGAAGAAAGGAAATGAACAAGAATGTTCTTGCTACTTGGCTTTCGGTACCACCTTGTCAGGTAATCGCTACTTGATAGGTTAATTTGAACGTTCAAAAACGGAAGCCAGTTTTTTCTCGGTTTCTCCCGGGTAAACTTTATGTTCTCAGACTACTCGTTCAATAATTCAAAGCATTTGTCCATCTCCTCCTGCGTAGAGAAGACGACAAAACAATCATCTACATATCTGCAGTAGAATTCCCCCTTATCACTAACAGACAATCGTATTGTTTTCGAGTTTATTAATTCTCTGATTTCTCCCATGTATGACCGTCTGTGTGAAACAACAAATTGCATAATTTGCCCTTACGGCAGGGACAGTGATTGCATGAGTTCAGGTACGACATACCTGATCTCTTGTAATAATTGCGGAGATGAATATATTGGCAAAACGAGCAGACCTTTGTGTATCCGTATAAAAGAACACCTAGATGGCAAACGGAAACTAAGACAAAGTATCCCACTAGGCACGCATAGGATACAAAAGCATAGCGGAGACAATTTTGATGTAAACGTCAATATCCTCCCACAGAAGACTAAAACACCTGCGGGAAAACTTCTTGAGGCTTTTTGGATAAAAGCCAAAAACCCTACAATAAATAGCAGGGATGAATGCCCAGAGGTCATACGCGACCTGACCACGTACGTTCGCATCGATTTTTGATGTGGGATGGTGCAGTCGTCAACCACATGCGACTATAATCAGCTGTTCTAAACTTCCTCATTGGAAGTCACGAAAAAGCGGTGGGTTTTTCGAGAAGCTGTTGATCATGTGATTACCAAAGAGTCTTTCGTCTTTGTGTAACTGTTATTGAAGCGTTTGGCCTAGTAGATTGTATATCAGCATACCCTTCCAGGCTCTGAAGAAGGCGATACTGCCGAAACGTCAGCTAGTGTTGTATTGTATTGTGTTTTTCTATGGAAGCAAATGTATGCTGTTTAAAAACCTTGCGATTGCTGAACAAGAAAACGACGCATTAATATTTAAAGCATTAGATACAAGCTCGCATTGGTGGAAGACATCCTTTCAAAGGATGGCGGCGAGGAGAGCAAATCCGTTCCCTATCAATTTATCATCTACGTATATCTCAATGTCGTTGAAAACAGCAGAACACGTCTGTTCCCTTTACCTGAGCACACCATCATTTCTGTTACATAACAGTAGTTTGGACACGTTCAAGAAGAGCATGCAACCCATTTGATTTCTCGTAATAATCGATCAGCAGACTTAAATGTAAAGTTTCGTTGCTTCCAATGAAATATGCTTGAGAATTGTTTTACACAGATGTGAACTGTAAACTCTTTTCTTCTTAATGTTTAAAAGCTGAACACAATTAATTTGATCAATCAGTAACAACTAGCGAGTTCTATTTTTGCAAATGCTTGTGAACGCCGAAAAATTTTGAAATCAAACCAACAAAAATCGCTCTCTAACGAGAAGATTTAAAATTAACAAAACAAACAAATTAACAAATCACACCACAAAATTAAATGCAATAAAACTCTCGGAGCAACTCCCACGATCGACTTTCTATTAACCTCGGCAATGATCCAGTAATTCTTCGTATTTTTGTTGAGCAAACGCGAGGTGTTATTACTCTTTATTCACAAATAAGCTGACGTTTCGGCGGATTTCGCCTTCCTCAGAGCCTGCAAAGGTCAAGTTGATAGCAATCTACTCGGCCAGACGCCTCCGTAACCAAACAAAGAAACTCTAAACCAAGATTTCAATCACATTGAATACAGCTCTGCACACTCACCGCTTCCTATGAGGTTTCCACTAAGTATGTCACGTAGAGACTAACCGCACAGAAATCACATGGAAGTATAATGTGCCCCTCACATCAGAAAAGCAGTTTTATATACTGCCCTATATCACGCGTGATAATGAGGCATTCTTCCCTGCGGTTCATTTTCGGATTTCAGGAGTTAATCCAGAACGCCTCGAGAGTTTTTCGCGCCTGTGTTCTTGATTCGCGTGCGAGGATCGTGACACATACTTCAAAGTCCACCCCGTTATGTCTTTGAGTCCTATGCATGCCTAGCGGGGTATTTGGTCTATGTTTGCCGGCTAGGTGTTCTTTTATGCGGACACAGAGGGGTCTACCCGTTTCGCCAATGTATTCGTCACCGCACGTCTTACAGGAGATCAGATAAACTATACCCGAGCTCATGCAATCACCGTCTCTACCACTGGGGCAAATTATGCAATTTTGAGTTGCACATAGACGGTCATATAGGCGGTTACGAACTAGCTGGCGCTTAAGATTACTAGGTGGTATTTCAACTACGCTCACCGAATTCTCTAAACCCGCCCTTATTAAGCAGCGTTTTATAGCTGTACTTATATCATTTGAGATGAAGGGTAGGATAAAGGGAACCCTTCTATCGCTAGAGATGTTGTTTGGAGGCCTAGGATTACCTCTACACCTATCCTGAGCTACAGTTTCGTAGCCATTAGAAACGGCTATTTGCCGTGAGAAGTTCCGGGACTCCTCTCTCTGCTCTCTTCCCGTGCACACGTTGGTTGCTGTTCGAAACATGTTTCTTATAAGCGCCCTTTTCGTGTGAGAGGGGTGAGAGGAGAGGTAATGAACCAAGATGTTTTTACTACTTGGCTTTCGGTACCACTTTGTAATGTAGCCATTTTCTGATAGGTGAATTTGTACGTTCAAAAATGGAAGCCATTTTTCTTTCGGCTTTTCTCGGGTGAACTTGATATACTCTGACTGTGAGTTTAGCAATTCGAAACATCTGTCCATTTCCTCTTGTGTTGAGCGAAGGACAAAGCAGTCGTCTACATACCTACAGTAGAGTAGCGGCCCGAGATCAGTCACTGATGCTTCCACCTTAGACATAAATGCAATGGCAAGGCTTGGAGCCAGTCGTTGTCCCATTGCCAACCCTCTTATTTGAGCGCAGTACTTTCCGGACCATCTGAAGATTGAGCAGCTCAAACATTCTTTTAAGAGTGCCATCAGATGCTCTATCTTGAAGCCATACATATTTATTTCTCCTTTGTGTGGCATAAGGAGTTCAAGTATGGCTTGCATTCCGGAGCCTTTCGACACGTTTGTATAAAGGGCGGTAACGTCGAAGCACTCCATCACGCCCGCGCTGTTGGGCTGCGCAGTACGTAGACGACTAGGGTTAAAAACCATGTTATCCTGTCCGTTGGCCCGTCTACGCAGCTAATGATAGGTCTAATCTTAAACAGTGATGGATCGGTAGACGCAAGATCATCGCTGGATACTAACTTATGAGATTTTATAGGCAAGTACAAGACGGGACATATTGGTAGCTCAACCTTTAGTTGAGAGATGGTTTTATTCCAGCAGCCCTTGCCATTTTGGCCCATTCGTGGTTTAGTTTTCGGTATTTACTTTTGAATTCCTCCTCAGATGATGGGCGATAAAGCGAAGCATCTTCAAGATGCTTTTTCGTTATCTCCACATCTAACTGATGAGGAATTACGACAAACTCTCCACCCTTATCACTAACGGAAAGTCTTATGGTTTTAAACCTTATCAGGTCTCGTACCTCTCGCATACCAGGTTTTTGCACTTCAGTGAGGTTTGAGCTGTATCTTTTCGCGCGATAGTGATTAAAGACTTTGAAAGTTTCATTCGTAAATATCCGAAAATTAACATCAACTTCATTATTGGGCTCTTGTTGTCTAAAGAACGTCGGGGTAAATGGTGCTATTGGTAGGACCCTCACTTGGTGTTGTTCGCACCTATTTAGCGCTTCATCTCTAGCTTTTTTGCGGAGTCTATCTTGAAGTTCATGCAAACCACATGCGACCCTACGCAAGGTTATCTTAGAAATTGGTTCAGATGGTGAGAAACTCGGCCCCAATTCTAATAACGAGCGCGCACGGTCAGGAAGTTATGCCTCCCAACACGGTTAGCCTTGAATTTTCTTGCACATTACCTATCCTAATGTGATCTGTTTGATGTTCTTTAGCGATATTTTTGTGCGCTATTGAAGCTGTATTATGTGATTTACTCAAAAGGTCTTCGAATTTTCTTCGCAAAGCTACTTTAGCATTAGACCTAATAGAGTTGCAAATCAACACTGACCCGCCCACTATTCTCCTCCAGAGGTGGTCCTCCAAATATTGAGCACAAAAGTTTTCCTTCGTCTCGCACTTCTTCCACTTGGCTAACATCTGGTTTTGTCGGCTTCGTAGACAGGTGCGTAGTATTCGGAATTCGACGTCCAATACTCGGTGACTGTCCTCTGGTAGTCCGCATACGTTGTGTAGTCGTCTTCGTTTGATGAAGTTCGGAACGACTCGATGTTTTAGACAGCGGCGGAGAAAGTGTATTGACTGTCGAGC